TATATATATGTATGTGTATATATATATATATATGTGTGTATGTATATATATATATATGTGTGTATGTATATATATATATATATATATGTGTAAGTATATGTATATATATACATATAAATATACTTATACTTATTTATATATATATATAAATATATATATATATATATTTATATATATTTATTTATTTATATATATATATATATTTATATATATATATAAATATATACACACACATTAGTATATGTATACATAGGTGATGTCCAGTGTTTCTACGATGAGTCTTCTAAAAATCTTGCAATTTGCACATCGGGAGGAAGGAGTTTGGTAGAGACGTGACGTTTTTACAGCCTTGTTCTGAAACAAGCCCTAAACCACATGACACTCTAGGAAATCGTTTTTTTTTCAACACACATAACCACAACATGTTTTTTTTAATCAGCTCAGTTGATGACAAACTAGAATAAGTTATTCAAACACAAGCATCTATATCGAGCAGAATCAAATTGTGCCTGCCTACTGAATTTAGTCGTTTCTTGTGTCACTCAGCGAGACTCTGGCTCTGGGGGTGGACAGTATTTTGTTTTAATAATCATTCAAACAGCCAAAAGTCTGGATTACTAAGATGTCCTTCAGCTGATTAGCTTCCCCTTTGGGTTGGATAAAGTCCTCATTTTTTGCTGAATGGGATCGTTCAGATCTTCTGAAGTGGGACTCTGTGGAGGTTGAAGTTGTTTTATAATGGCAGCAATCTTTGTTTTTAGCATTTTCAGACTAACCATTATCACGTCAATATGAGTAGAAACACTGTTTCTCCTCAAAGAGCTATCTACCACTTTCGTTCCTAAACTCTTCATAGAACCCAACTCTGATTTTTAAACTAGCGTTTTTAAAGTAGATGATGACGAGCCCATAATTCCATGTATTTTTAAATACCGTAATTTCCTGACTATTGAATGCACCCAAATATAAGCCGCACATAAATAAATGTAATTTTGTACACGTATAGGCTGCGCTTGTTTATAAGCTGCAGATATCTACGTTGTAACATGAAATATTTACACAGATTTTTTTTTTTTTTTTACTTTCAATTAAATACGTACCAGTAGCATACACAAATGTGTACAGTAAAGTTGTTGTTTTTTTCTTCTGAACAGTGCCTGTAACACTACTGGTAAAAAATAAAATAAAAAAACAGTAGCCTACCAGGAAGTCACTAAACGCTATCATCATCTTCGTCCTGCGCAAATTTGTGCTGTCCTCCTACAGACTTGATCAGAAGTTGCTCTTTGCATGCTGGAGAGTCCCTCCTCACAGGGAGGGGTTCTCCCCTCCCCATTCTCTCCTCCCCTCCCTGCTTCATTGGTCCACTGTGACCTCTTCCGTAATTTCATTGGTCAGATTTTTTAACCTTTATTTATACAGGTAGTCTCATTGAGTCACGAGGACCCACCCCCCAAGAGAGACGTGCAGCTCTCGGGTGTGACGAGGCTAAATGTTTTGGTGGCATGAAGCTTGTTAGCACGTTGAAAAAAGAAAAAAAAATCCATAAATTAGCAGCAGTATTGTATACGCCACAATGTTCCAAGCATGTGAAAAAAGTAGCAGCTTATAGTCCAGAAATTACGGTAAATTCAAACATAACCATCACATTAGGCACTTTCACAAAACACTTCAAAGCAGGATCAGGGCTCCTTCTGGTTGTTTCGGTGTAGTTTCTGAATGGACCGAGGCGGCATGCATGAGTTGAAGTCAGCCTTCCGATGTTGTACCAGTTGGATAGTAACAGAGCTGTAACCGTTAA